ATCTGGACCAACTGTGTGGCCTTAGACACCCAAAAGGAAAGTATAACCAAAGATTAAAGGGGCCAATATAATTTCATAAGAGACCATATATATATAGCTAAAGGCTACATAGCAAGCAACAATGCCAGACAAGAGATACCTTCTTTTGAGTTGATGGCCAGGGTGGCCAAAGGGATTCCCAGATAGTAACACAGCAGAGAACTGGGAAAATGAACAGCAGACCCCAATCTAATCCAAAGGAATATTGACAACTGAATACCACTAGATGAGGAACAGCTGACCTTCCTAAAACAAAGACCTCTAGATAGGTTGACTAGATTCACCAGAAGGGCAAGTAGTGGAGAATGGCTGAGGGTGCCAACAACACAGCAGACAGTAGCAGGGATATTAGAGTAAAAGTACTCTAGTGGGGGGAGGGAGGCTATGGGAGGGTGCTTCCTGGGAAGCAGGTGTATAAATAAAAAAAAGAGATGTATCCTTGCTCTGGAGTGTGTTACTGAATATGTTAAAGCTGTAATGAAATGCTTCTTCTAATCACGTGGTTATTAAATTTAAAAAGAATTAAAATAGTCTTCAAAGCATAAAAATGTGCTTCTTAATAATTGGTAAATGTGAAAAACATTACCACTGATATCTACATGATTGCTTTATGTCCATGCTCAGATGCCAAGGTTCTCAGAAAGTAACTGACTGTGACTAGTAATAATCAGATATATAGAGATTAGAAATGCATGTGCAAACATCATAGTGTCAATTGTATTAAAAATGAATTTTTCTGTATGAAACTATTTTAATCATGAAATGGAGATGTCTTTTAAAGTTTAAAACTTCATTTAATTTTATGTCTTATAGGGGTTAAACGGAGTACAATATTGTTTAACTGTATCAATTCAACTATAAACCTAAAAATTTACAGCTAATTTTGAAAGAGATGCATCTTAGCTCTGGAAATTGTTATTGAATTTGTCAATGCTGTTGTAATAAAATGCTTCTTCTAATTATATGGTTATTAAATAAACAATTAAAAAAAAAGTCAGCAAATGAGAGGAATTTCTCAGCGAATTAGCTATCTAATACAATAAGAAGAGAAGCTAGGTTGGCTTAGATCAATATACTACTTACTATATAATGTTTTTCCCTGACAGTATAGCTTATAAATGTGATGGTTTGAATGAGAATGCCCCCCACAGGCTCCATGTATTTGAACATTTTGTCCCCAGTTAGTGGCATGGTTTTGGGAGATTTCAGGGGAGTAGCCTTGCTGGAGGAAGCACATCACTAGTGGTGGGCTTTGAGAGTTCTTAAGCCTTGCCAGATTTCCTGTTTCTCTCTGCTTCCTGTGCCTGCTTGATGATGTGGTCAATTGGTTTTTTGCTCTGGCTACCTCTGCCAACATACTCCCACCCCCATTATGGGTTCTAATCTCTCTGGAATAGCAAGTCAAATAAACTTTTTCTTCTGTAACTTGTCTGGTCTTGGTGTCATCATAATAACAGAACAGTAACTAATACAATGAATAATGGTTTAAACAAGCAGATATAGCTCTTCCTTCAGTTACCATGTGTTTATCCAGTGCCTAGTTGGCACTAAGAACTGTGACAGACACTGGAATAAAGTGCTGAAGAGAGATTGCTAATTGTTTCATGCTTATAAAAGAAGCTTGTCAGTCTATGACTTTACCTTTCTGTGCTCATGATCAATCATGACATTGTGGGGCTTTACATCTCTGTGCATAATCCCCATGCTGTGACAATAATCCAGGGCCTGAAAGAAAAGAAAGTTAGCTTGTTGCATGAGTCACCGTTTTTAGTCTTGTGCTTTTTCTTCCATGTTATTTTCCTTCTCTCTCTAAGAGAGAGCGGCTCTTGCTTTATAGCCTAGGCTGTCTTCAAACTTTTGCCAAGCTGCGTGCCCCAGTCTCCTGAGTGTTGAGATTACAGGTGTGAGCCACCACACCTAGTTCAAATGCACTCTGAAGCCCAGATTATTTCTTTTTTTAAAAAAATATATTTAGTATTTTTATTTTATGTGCATGAGTGTATTGCCTGCAGGTATGTGAGTGCACCCGTGTTGTGCTATGCCACGGAGGTCAGAAGAGGGCGTTGGATTCCCCTGCAAGAGCAGTCAGTGATCTCAATTGCTGAGCCATCTCTCCAGCCCCTGAAGCCTAGATTTCTATAAACTCATTCCCCCCAAAGGAAAATGAGCCTTCAAACCTTTTATCTGCAGAACAGTAATTCCTTCAGTAGCTAAGAGTTGGGCCAATCTGGCCTGCTGCTTGTCTTTGTGAATGTTTCATCAGCACACAGCTATGCCTATTTGTTTACATACTGTCCATGGCTGCTTTCTTGCTACAACAAAGAGTTAAAGAGTGGGACAAAGACTTTGGTCCTTTACAAACACTTGTCAAACCCTGATTTAGGTCATCTATCCAATTTGAACATTTTTAACAAAGTAAAGTGAACTGAGCCACAGAACCTTTGAATCTGTTAATCCTGGCCTTTTTAGTCAACTGTCATTAGCTGAGTTCTTGCTCTTCCTGAAGAATCTGGATTGCTAGAGTTTGTAGGTCTAAGCAAACATGTCTAACTTTGTGAAGCCCTGCTTTCCATATAGCCAATGGGAAGATCAAATGTCTCTGCAAGTACAGTCACTTCTGACTTTAGTTTTTGGCAGGATCTCACTATATAGACTGCTTGTCTCGAACTCACTGAAATGTGCCTGCCTCTGCCTCCTGAGTGCTGGGATTAAAGGCACAAACCACCATGCATAGCTTTCTTTTGATACTTTTTTTTTTATATATACTTTTTTTTGGTCTTTTTGAGACAGGGTCTCCCTGTAGCCCCAGCTGTCCTGGAACTCACTATGTAGACCAGGCTGGCCTTGAACTCACAGAGATCCGCCTGCCTCTGTCTCCCAGTGCTGGGATCAAAGGCGTGCGCCACCATGCACGGCTTCTTTTGATACTTTTAATCCTCAAAAAAGGCGGCATGATGCCAATCCATATTTAATAAGAAACTTTAATCAACTCTCATCATTTTTCTCCTTACGTAAAGCTGATCTTGTAACTACTATCAGCAAGATAATTGGTGGTCCCACTTTAGAAATCAAAGTTTACTCTTAAGTCAGTAATCTTTAGATTCAAGAATCTTTTTTTCTTGAGATAGGGTCCCATGTAGCCCAGGATGGCCTAGAACTCCCTATGTAGACCAGGATGGCTTTAAACTCACAGAGATCCACCTGCCTCTGCCTCCAAAGTGCTGGGATTAAAGGCGTGTGCCACCAGGCCAAGGTCACTTGTTGAATCCTAAGTGAAATAAAGTGTATCAGCAGCCAGAGTTGTTTTTCAGTTTTGATAATGTAATTCTCACTTGTGGTTCTCTTCCAAATACCCTTTTATAAGGCATTCTAAGTCTAGGGAAATAGTTTAGTAATAAAGCATCTTGGTATGCATGAGGCCTTGAGTTTAATTAACAGAACAACAATAATAACCAAAAAAGGCATTCTAAAGCTACGTGTTGTGGCTCATACCTCTTAGTCCCAGAACTTGGGAGGCTGAGGCAGGAGAGTAATTAAGAGTTACAGGCAAGCTTGGACTAGACTACATTGTGAGTTCTAGGCCAGCCTGCACTAAGAGTGAGACCCTGTCTCACAAACACCCAAGCATTCTAAATCACAGTTCTATTAGACCCTAGTCTATAACCCTTACTTTAGCTCAGGTGCTATTAAAAAAAACTATGTAGAGGTTCCTGATTTCAGCACAAGTTACAAAGTTAATTCCCTGGCTTCTCTACCATCACATAGACTCTTTAACAAAGACCAATTTAAAAATATTTAGTATCTAAGGTTGCTTACCTTCAGAATTTCATACATGTAAAATCGAATGTCATAGTCTGTTAATGTCTGGTACAATTGCTGTTAAAGACAAATGCAGTATGAGCCATGAAACAATGCTAGTAAGAAGGCAATTTTCTCATTCTATTCATAGCAATTCAAACTGAGATTCAGCTCATTTGCCATAGTTCCAAGATTTGTTTTTCAGTTGATCTCTACCTCTCCAGCATAAGTTCACTTTAAAGAGATACTTTAGGTCTTAAACTCCATATGCAAAGGTGAAGAATTACTTAAACACATATTGAAGCTGAAATGTGCTGTTGGGAAAATGCCTACATATATGTTCATAGCATGCAGTGATAATATTTACAACTTTTAGTTTTGGATTCTCTTAAAGGGCATCTTGGCAGAGCCTGTTTAGTAGTGAAAGGACATATCTTGAGCCTACAGAGTATGCAGATGATATGATGAGAAATCCATTGAGCCAAGTGAACAGAACTCTCCCTGTCCAGCCTAAAACCTGTGATGTAACTTTTTTTTTGGTCTTTTTTGAGACAGGGTCTCTGTAGCCCCAGCCGGCCTGGAACTCTCTATATAGACCAGGTTGGCCTTGAACTCACAGAGATTCGCCTGCCTCTGCCTCCCAAGTGCTGTGTGATGTAACTGTTCTACTTTCTAAAAGGATACAGATTTTTTTTTTAATATATTATTTTTATTTTATATGTGTGTATTGCCTACATGTAGGTAAGTGTACCAGTGTCGTGCAGTCCCTGCGGAGGACAGAAGAGGCTGTTGGAGCCCCTGGAACTGGAGCTGTGGACAGTTGTTAGCTGCCATGTGGGTGCTGGGATTCGAACCTGGGTCTTCTGCAAGAACAGTGTTCTTACTGCCGAACCATCTCTCCAAGGGCTACAGAATTTTTACATCTAAATACCTTTAAATTGTTAGTGGTATCCTCTGATAAAGTTTTTTGAGGTTATCATTTTGACTCTAGAATATCTAAAATGTTTTCTCTTCCCCCTTTTCAACAACAGAACCCATCCACTTATTGATACACAACATTTTAGATATTGTATTTGTAAAGGAAAAGTCACACACAACTAAATGTGTAGTTTAGCAAAGTGCCTACATTCTTCAGGTCCAATGGAATGGAGAGCTATTTGAAATATGCAAGTCACCTGAGAGGTCAGAGTTCTGAGGTGTCTATTATATAGGTTTGTGCTACAGACCTTTCTTCTGTCTTTTATAATCTATAGCCCCAGAGGCTGGCATATAACATGGTGATAGCACAGGTGCCTAGCACTGTAAACTCTTAAGGTCCTGGGTTCTAGATCCAGCAGTGTACGGGCAAGGAAAAGCCCTACAGCCCACAGCTCGAGGAATCCTAAGGACTATGCAATCTTTACTATTAAGACACAATATATTCTTTCCTGAACATTTGTGCATTAAAGTGAACTGCTTGCTGTAAGGTTAAATCCTGAATGATTATGTACAGTCATGAACTTCACCAGTTTGGATAGCAGATGAAACTGTTAAATGAACGAGAACTTTAAAAGATGTAATGTACTAGTTATTAAAAGCGCACAAAACAAATACAAATGCAAAGTACACAGATGTAGAAAGCCAGTATTACTTTTACTACTTATCAGTGTAGGGGCAAAAAGCTCTTTTAAACCAAGAAAGAAGCAAGGTCTGTCTACAGTGTCATACCCAAAAGACTTTATACAGTTCATTATTATTATTATTATTATTTTGGGTCTTCTTGAGACAGAGTCTCCCTGTAGCCCCAGCTGTCCTGGAACTCACTATGTAGATCAGGCTGGCCTTGAACTCACAGAGATCTGCCTGCCTCTGCCTCCTGAGTGCTGGGTTAAAGGCGTGTGCCACCACGCCCAGCCAGTTTATTATTTTTATTTTATGTGTGTAAGTGTACTGCCTGCATGTATGTAAGTGCACCCTGTGTCATGCAATGCCCATGGAGGTCAGTAGAGGGTGCTGGATCCCCTGGAACTGGAGTTATGAATAGTTGTTAGCTACCATGTGGGTGGCTGGGAATCAAACCTGGGTCCTCTACAAGAGCAGCTGGCGCCCTTAGTCACTGAGCCATCTCTTCAGCCCCCCAAAACACTTTTCATGTGACTAAAAATCCAGTAGTTTGAAATGACTGGTTATGCATTATACCTTAAAGTCCGTGTTGTTAACATGTTCAAAAACCAAGGCAGGGGTTCGTGACTACGGGAAAGAAAAAGAAAACATGTTAGTAATAGGCCTGGCAGGTCTAGTTTGCAGTCTATGCACAGCGTGTGGAGAATTTGGCTGTCCTTGTTATAGCAGTAGTAAGAAGCCTTCCCCATACTGATCATTACTATACTTCGGTTATTTTCAGAAGGACTGCAAACAGAAACCTTTAATCATTTGAAATCCCGAGACTCTAGGCAGTCCAATAATGAGCCCATTGCCCACTGGCATTGGGCCTGAGTTTGCAAAGTAAATTAAAACAGCAGTCTCATAGGCGAGAAAAATAACAAGCTGTGTGGGGTGGGGGTGTTCCTCCTCTTTCAAAGAGCAACCGAAGCTAGTTCCCAACAGTATCTTGGCAATGGTGTGCCTTACTAGTGTCTACTGTACTCACCACAGGGTCTTTTACAATGTCTGCCAGTGTGATGATGTTGGGACCACCTCTCAAATTCTCTAAAATCTTTATTTCACGCTTAATTTTCTTCTTTTTTACTGGCTGAAATGGTAAAAGTATATCAGAAAAAAACAATTAGTTCAGAGTATTTCTCAACAGGTAGTGTAATACAAAGCAGATTACATATAAGCTCCATGAAGAAAGTAAGCATAACAGAATTCCCTTCTCCCAGCACTGTGTTAACTACTCTACATCAAAGTTGAATCAAAAGGAAAAAGATTTCCAGGGCTGGAGAGATGACTCAGTGATTAAGAGCATTGACTGCTCTCTTACAGAGGACCTGGGTTCCATTCCCTGTACCTACATGGTGGCTAACGACTCATTTCTGAAACTCCAGTTCCAGGAGATCTGAGGCCTTCTTTTGACCTCCACAGGCATTAGATGACATGAGTACACTTACATACATGCACGCAATACAGTCACATACAGAAAAAAATAAAATTAAAATATTTTTTTAAAAAAGAAGCCAGGCGTGCTGGTGTACACCTTTAATCCCAGCAACTCGGGAGACAGGTGTATGTATCTCAGTGAGTTCAAGGCCAGCCTGGTTTATGCAGGCCAGGCCAGTTGGAGGTACAGGGAGACCCTGTCTCAAAGAGAGGAGGGGGAAAGAGGGGAAAAAACATTCCCAATACAGAGACAGATCACTACAGAATCAAGTTTTAACATGATAATGTTTCAAAACCTTACAAATCAACATCCTAAAAGGTTAGAAACATTAAGGTACTTCTTTTTAAAAAAACCTTTTAATGGGGCCAGCAAGATGGCAGGCACTTGCTACCAAGCCTGAGGATCTGAGTTTGATCCTCAGAACCCACATGGTGGAGAGAACCAATTCTTGAAAGTTATCCTGATTGTGATATGCATACAAATAAATAAATGTCAAAAAACCCTTTACTTATTGGTCTTTTTGAGACAGGGTCTCCCTGTAGTGTAAGCTGGCCTGGACTCCCTATGGAGACCAGGCTGGCCGTGATCTCCCAGAGCTCTACCTGCCTCTGCCTCCCAAGCGCTGAATTAAATGCGTGTGTCATCACGCCCGGCTGAAAAAAGAAAAGCTTTTATTGTATTAGAATGCAACACAGTTCCTTTTGATTCCTTCCTACACAGTCTCACTCTACAGCCCAGGCTGGTCTCAAATTCATGGCGCTACTCCTGTTTCGCCTCCTGAATGCACTTTTAATGAATTATCTTTTAAAAATTCAAGACCTTATTGATTTTTATTTTATGTGAATGAGTGTTTTGCCTGCAAATATGTATGTGCACCGTCTATGTGCCTGGTGCCTGTGGATGCCAGAAGAGGATTCTAGATTCCCTGGAATTGAAGGCAGAGAAGTTGTTGACCAAATATGGGTACTGGGGACTGATACCAGGTCATCTGCAAGAGCACTAAGTGCTCTTAACCACTGAGTCATCTTTCCAGACCCAAAATTTTACTTTAAATAGCTACCAAGTTATTAAAATATACGTACTAGGGCTGGAGAAATGGCTCTGCGATTAAAAGCATTGGCTGAACAGAAGACCTACGTTTGTATCCCAGCACCCACATGGCAGCTAATAATCATTACTAACTCCAATTCTAGGGCATCCGTCGCTCTCTTCTGCCCTCTGCCCACACTTCACAACATGGGTGCACTTATATATACATGCAGGCAAAACACTCTACATAAATAAATAAAATATTTTTTAAAATTCCTGAGACAAGCTATAAATTGAAAATGTTTGGTGGTGCATCCTTTAATCCCAGCACTTGGGAGGCAGAGGCAGGCGGATCTCTGTGAGTTCCAGGGCAGCTAGGGCTACAGGGAAACCCTGCCTCAATAAAAAAGAGAAAATATTAACTTCTTAGTAAAAACAGACACTTCTGTGTTAGGAACTTTAGGAACTATAAGCTAAATTCCCAATATAATGCAGTATTAGTAATAACTCAATTACTCAATTAGAAGTTGCATACTGATGGTTCATGGACTAAATCTGACTTATTAATATTTTCAAAAAACCTTGAGCCATATTTAAACACCAGAATACACAAATATGGATTTCCAGATTCTTTGCAAAATATCAAGGAACACCAGACCTCTACTGCTATAGGACATTAGTCAGTCATAGTTAAAAAGCAACCATCTCCTTTTCATTTTTTTGAGGTGTAGGTGTGGGCACACGTGCGTATGGAAGCTGGAGGTCAAACAGCTGTCGTCCTCACTTTTCTTCTCTGTTGCCACAGCACATGCATGGAAGTCAAAGGACAACCTGGGGAATCAGTTCTCTCCTTCTACCATGTGAGTTCTAGGGACTTACCCAAGGTTGTCAGGCTTGGCAGCAAGCACCTTTACCTGCTGAGTCATTTTGCCAGTTCTCCACTGATTTTTTTTTGAGACAGAAATCTCTCAGTGAATCTGAAGCTTACCAAGGGCTAGCCTGTCTAGCTAGTTTGTCCCAGGGATACTTTGGTCTCCATCTTCTAGTACTGTGATTACAGGTACACACTACCATGTCTGGCTTTCTGGAGTCAGGGATATGAACTCAGGTCCTCAGGCTTGCAAGGCAAATGCTTTACTGAGTCACTTTCCCAGCTGCTTTGTTTTACATCCCCACCCACTCCCCTGCCTGAGCTGGGACTCAAACCCAGGGTATTGTGCATACTAAAAAGCACTGTACTACTAAGCTACATTCCCAGCCAGTTCTCCTTCTGAGGAGGCATGGGGCTCCTGGTTTGTGTCAGCCCCTACCAATTATATCATCTACTGAGCAGCACTAGCTTTGCTGATGTCATCTCCTTACCCTCTTAAATAAGCCTTCATTTGATTCCTAACCCTTTCAAAGTAGAAGTAATGATTTGCTTATTGACAACAAAAGCATGGAACATAACTGGAAGCTCAGGAAATGGACATTAACAAGACCTGGGAAAGAAGGGTTGCATCTTTACTTCTCTCCTCTGCTTCAATCTAACCATCCCTTTCTTAGCTCCCGCTCTGCATCTATCAAACAGGAAGCATGTGATCTAACCACTTCAGAGGATATAAAAGGAGGCTAAACTAGTGAAAAAGACTTTCAAGAGAGATATATAAAAAGGTACCATCAGTTTTAAAACTCCATATTCCAAATTCTCTGAAATTGTTTCTCTTATACTCACCTTGAGAATTTTAACAACAACTTTTTCATTATTTGTGATGTTGATGGCTTCAAACACTTCACTGTATTTACCCCTGCCTAATTTTCGAACAAGCTGGTAGTCATCTTGATTTCTGTGGACAAAAACAAAGTCACAATGATTTCTTTCTTTATCTACACGTGTATTGCCTGCATATACCTGGGCACCTGTGTTGTGCAATGCCCATGGAGGACAGAAGAGGCTATGAGATCCCCCTAGAACTGAAGTTACAGACAATTGTTAGCTGCCATGTGGGTGCTGGGATTCAAACCCAGGTCCTCTGCAAGAACAGCCAGTGTTCTTAACCACTAAGCCATCTCTCCAGCCCCAAAGTCATAATGATTTCAAAAGATCAAATTATCAAACATCAATTCAACTTATAAAACTCTTATTTATTGCCTGGTGTAAAAGTGTATGTATGGCCGGGTATGGTGGCACATGCCTTTAATCCCAGCACTAGGAAGGCAGAGGCAGGTGGATCCCTGTGAGTTCAAGGCCAGCCTGGTCTACATAGCAAGTTCCAGGGCAGCTGGGGCTACAGGAAGACCATGTTGCAAAAAGACCAAAAGAAAAGAAAAAGAAAGAAAAAAGTCCCACCACTTGGGGGGTGGACACAGGGTAATCAGGAGCTCAAGGTCATCTTGGGCTCTATATAGAAAATTTACAGTAGGGCTAGGCTACAGGAGGCTCTGTCTCAAAACAAGACAAAAACAAAACACCAGTAAGGGATATTTCAAATGTACACTGTATTTTTTTAAAACAAAGTTTTGAACTGAACCCCAGTCCTCTGCAAGAGCAGCAAGCAAGTATGCTTAACTACTATACTAAGCCAGCTCTCTAGTTCCTCAAATGTTACACTGCAGTCCTTCAAAAACAACAACAACAACAACAACAAATGGGCTGGAGAAATGGCTCAGTGGTTTTTAAGAGCATTGACTGCTCTGTAGAGGACTGGGATCTGATACCAGCACACACATGATGGCTAACAATGGTCAGCGGCTCTAGTTCCAAGGGAATCTCTCCTGACCTCTTCAGGTATTGTATATGAGTGCACTTACATACATGCAGGCAAAATACTCATACACACAACAAAAATAACAAAATAAAATTTAAAAAACAAAACAAAAAAACTGGGCCCATTAAAATGTGTGCATCAAATATTAGAAAAACTTGGGACTGGGAATGTAGCTCAATTGGTAGAGTGCTTGCCTAGCATACCATATTATATACAAGGTCATGGGGTTTAATCCCTAGTACCATATAAACCAGGCACAGTGGCACATACCTATAGTCCCAGAACTCACCAGGTAGAGGCAGGAAGATAAGAAGTTTTAAGGTCATCCTCAGCTATATAGCAAGCTTGAGGCCAGCCTGGGCTACATGAGACCGTCTCAAAAATCATTAAAAAACAAAAAGAAGGAAAATTTAAATTTTCTCAATTATTCTTCCAAATCCTAAATTGTATAGCACATTTGCTTGTAGTAGGATTTATTAAGTATATGTCTGTCTCCAACAAGACTATTTTTCCCTTCAGTAACTAATTTTCATACATTCCTACTTCATACTGCCTGGGCACTTAGAACTCAACATATGATATAAGAGTATCGTTACACTTTAGCTACACTTGGAAGCAGTGCTTTCTTATTGGGGAATCTCTGACTACATGGCTTCAAAATGCACATGGGCTTGACCTGTTCTTCAGGACAGGATCTGAGAATAATCCTCATAATAAAGCAACCACATCACAGATCATGAACCAAAGTTAAAGGTCCTGCTTTCACCCATACTCTGTTTAAATAATATCAGAGGTTATAAACAGAAGTAAATAATAAGGCTAATATTAATATTTTCTTCTCCTGCTGCCAAATAAGGGCCTTTGCTCTAATCAAGAACAAAGACAGTTCCTTTAGTAAGCATAGCTGATATGGTGGTAGAGTATACACCTGGGATTTCAGGACTCAGTAAACTCAGGCAGGGGAATGGCAAGCCCAAAGCTAGCCTGGTGAGCACCTGCTTCAAAAACAAGCAACCAATAAAACCCATTAAGACTTAATGATACCAGTTCTGATGGTCCATTCCTGTAACCCCAGCTACTTGGGAGGTTGAGGGGGAAGAATCATAAATTCAGGGCATTCCTGGGCTGCAGAAACTGTGTAACTTACAAGCACTATCTCAAAATGAAAAATGAAATGGGACTGGTGGCACATGCCTATAACCCCAGTACTTGGGAGGTGAAGGTAGAATCAGTAGCTCAAGGTCATCCTCAGTATACAAAAAAAATCCTGACTCAAAAAGCAAGACGGCTCAGAAGGTAAAGGCCCTTGCCAAAAAGCCAGAAGATGTGAGATCAATTTCTGGGTCCCATATATGATAGGAGAACCAACTCCTACATGTTGTCCTCTGTCACACTGTGGCACATCTTCCCCTGCCACTAAATAAATATGCAATAAAACATTTTTAAAGCACACTCCCCAAAATAAAGAAAATGAAAAGCTGTGTTAGGAAGCCTATCAACTGGCACAGTGCTCACACACCATGCACAAAGCCCTGGGTCTGATCCCCAGCACCAGATAACACAGTACACCCATAATCCCAGCTCTACAGAGGTAGAGAAAGAAGCTCAAGGTTGGGCTGGAGAGATGGGCTAACAGCACTCACTGGCTGCTCTTGCAGAGGACCCGGGTTCAGTTCCCAGCACCCAGATGGTAGCTAGCAAACACCTGTAACTCCAGCTCCAAAGGATCCAATGCTCTCTTCTGGCCTCTGCAGGCATTGCATGATCTAGGTGCACTTATATGCATGCAGGCAAAACACTTATATACATATAATAAAAATAAAGAAAACGCTGTTTAAAAAAAAAAACAAGTTCAAGGTCATACTAGGCGTGTAGCAAGTTTGAGACAAGTCTGGGTTACATGAGGTCTTATATCCAAAAAAGAAAAAAATAGGAAAAAGGGATTGGGATATACTCTAGCAGCTGAGAACCTGTCTAGCATCTACAAGGCCCTAGGTTCAATTTTGTGTAATGAAGAAAATGGAATAAAATTACACTTATTCTTATAATTCAACATGTACCAAATCAGCCATTCAAGTAAAGGCATGATGGTAATCATGTAAAAGGGCTGTTTAACACCATTTAAGCAAAGCTAGGTATAAAGAAGTTGGTTTTGAAGATAAGACAGTGAGATTTCTGCAGTAAAACACAGAGTACCTAGAGTCCAAAGTCTGTGACATTACATAATTGTAGATTATCAACAGTGACAAACATTTATTGGTTCTTCATGGTATCTCTGAAGTGTATTGTCTCCAGTAAGCACACTGAAGAAGTGCTTACTGCCTAATATCACAGCATACTGAAATGAAAAAAATACCATAAGACAGTTCAGGGAGACAGTTTTAACCACTTAAAACTACATGGAATTAAAAAATAAGAGTGTACGGGAGTTACTTTTTGCTTTTTTTGAAACAAGGTTTCACTTTATAGTCCACTTTGGCCTCCAACTCAAGGTCATCCTGCCTCAGTTTCCCAGTGTGTATCACCATACCTGAGTTGTGTCTTTGTAAATTTTCAAATTGCTTTCTTTTGTATTTAAACACCAGGAACGTTTTTAATCACAGAAAGCAATAAAAACTGATCAATTAAATGCCATGTTGAGACAGGAAATGAAAACATTCAATGAGCCTTGCATGGACAACTAGAGGGCAAACCCAGTTGCTGAGGGAGACTCCAACTTTTCAAGATGGAACTGGGCTAGATTCTGTGATGTATATACCTAGTCTTATGGTAAGGGGAATAGGATTTAAATCTTTCTTCTCATCCAAAAAAACTTCTGGAGAACTGTTTCATCCTTTAGTTCTGCTTGGGACTCTGACCTCAAGGCTATTTCATGTAAGAGTTTGGGGTTTCCAAAGTCTCTTCAGTATCAATTGTCACCTATTTTGCAATGCTAAACACACATGCTAACTTTGGATTCAGTAGCTCAGGCCAATCCAAATTTGTGCTCTTCTGGGATGGAGAGATGGTCCAGTGGTTAAGAACACTGACTGCTCTTGCAGAGGACCCAGGCTTAATCCCCAGCACCCACATGGCAGCTAACAACTACCTGTAACTCCAGTTCCAGGGGATCAGACGCCCTCTTCTGACTTTCGTGGGCACAACATGACACGGGTGCACTTACACACGTGCAGGCAATGCATTTATATGCATTGGGGGGGGCACTGGGGCTGGAGAGATGGCTCAGTGGTTAAGAACACTGACTGTTCTTGCAGAAGACCCAGGTTCGAACCCCAGCACCCACATGGCAGCTAACAACTGTCTGTAACTCCAGTTCCAGGGGATCCGACGGCCTCTTCTGTCCTCTGCAGGCTTTGCACAACACGGGTGCACTTATTTACATGCAGGCAATACACGCATACGCATAAAATAAAAATAAATATTAAAAGGGGGGGGATAAAAAAATGTTTGTTTATTTATTTAATCACTTATTTTTGTCTTTTTTGAGACAGGGTCTCCTTGTAGCCCCAGCTGTCCTGGAATTCACTATGTAGACCAGGCTGTCCTCAAACTCACAAAGATCCACCTGCCTCTGCCTCCCAAGTGCTGGGATTAAAGGCGTGCGCCACCATGCCCAGGAAAAATAAAATGTTTAAAAATACTAAAAAAAGAAAAGTTGTGCTCTTCCCCCCCAGGTTCCCAAGGTTCTAGAATGGGGGGTAGAGCTTGATCAGCAAGCTGACAAGACAGGTAAAAGTCTTTCCTATCAGCCTCATGAAGAGAATATATGAATCAGAGCAGGGACTGAAATGACGCTCAAATTTCAAATTGACAAATCAATAATCAAACTGTATAATCAAACTTGTAGCCCGAAGATGAGAACAAGATGGGCTCTGCCCCTGAGATTTGGGAAGCTTACTGACATAAGATATTCAACAAATCCACAAGGTTCAACCCTTTGAATATAGTGAAGCAAATGGAAACAATTACCCCCATTCCACCACATGTGACTCATAATCCCAGTACTCTCGGGGTCTGTGTGTATTAACATCTGTGTAAACTCTGGCCCTGCTTGGCACGGGTACCGACATGTCAGACAGGTTGGCAGACAAAGCTGAAGTTGATATTTGAAGATCTGGCAGTCACAGATGTTCAGAGGCAGATGGGGGTAAGACCTTGTTTCAGACCTGTTTTCTTCAAACTGCAGAAACAAAATGTAAAAAGGGCAACAAATTATTTTTTCAAAATACATTAGGGAAAAATCATTTTGCTAATAATAATGACCTCTCTTGTTAATATATCCCAGCTGTGTCAAACACAGTGTTTCTAATTAACATGGGGGATGGGAGGAGACACTACGGAATTAGCTAATACAGCAGCACTGCCACTGTTTCTACATCCCACAAAAGGTACTGGCAAGAATATTTTCCTTTCCTTTCAATAGTCTTCTACAGCAAGTGGACACATAAGAGGCTCTAGAATTATCAGTCAACTATAATATTTGATAACTAGGGAGAACAGCTCCTACATCTTCCAGATTATCTTATGTTAATGCTATTATTTGGGAGACCTTATATAATTAGCACACATGGAAATGTTTGAAAGATATACTTGATCTCATCAAATTTAAAAACAGAAATCAGCATTTTTTTACAGTAACAACCTTAATAAAATACTGAGTGGAAGGGCATGGCGGCAAACACCTATAATCCCAGCACTCAGAAAGTGGAGACAGGAGGACCAGACCAGGAGTTCAAGGTCATCCTAAACTGCAGAGCAAGTTTGAGACCAGATTGGGCATGAAGCCCTGTCTCAAAACAAACAAAAAACCTCAACTAGTATTAAATAGCAGGATATTTTTAGCTGAGCTAACACAAAGAAGGAAAGAGCCTAGCACTCAGGAGGTGGAAGCAGGAGAATCAGGAATTCAAGTAAACCTCAAATATATAGCAAGTCAGACACTACTAGCCTGGGTATTTTATGTGTATGTGTGTATTGCCTGCATGTAGGTAAGTGTATCTGTGTGGTGCAATGCCTGAGGAGGTCAGAAGAGGCTATAGGATCCCCTGGTACTGGAATTACTGACAGTTCTTAGCTGCCATGTGGGTGCTGGGATTCGAACCCAGGTCTTCTGCAAGAACAACCAGTGTTCTTAACCGCTGAGCCATCTCTCCAGCCCTGAGACTGTCTTAAAAGCAAAAACAAGCAAACAAATCTGAGAGAAAATTTGCAAATTTTTAGAAATATGGTTTTAAATCAAATTTCTTCCCTATTCTGTTTTCATTCTCTGAGATCCCTATCTATAACACTTGTTAATTCCCTTTACTACACATCTAATGAAAATGCACTGAGTTTTCCCTCCCATTTGGTAGCTTCAGAAGGACATATTTATGCAGTTTTCTAGTTGGTAATGCACAACTTACTAGGAAACTCTGGGTAATCAGAAAGTATGGACACTTCTATTTTAAAGGAGGGGTCTCTGCTGCTAAAAATCAATCAACTATCAGGCCTGGGGAGATGGCTTTTCAATTCCTAGCACCCACCTCAGGTGGCTTACAAACCACTGAAATTCTAGATCCAGGAATCTTGACTCTCTCTTCTGGACTCTGTTGGGGACCTGTACTCATATGCACATACACACATACACATAATTTAAAAGGAGGCTAAAGAGACATGATGAGTAACTACAATACTTCTATATCCTGTATCCTGTACTGCAGGGTATGCAGCTGCTAGAGAAAAATCATATTAGGGAGCTGGAAAGATGATTCAGTGGTTAAGAGCATTGACTACTCTTACAGAGGGCTCAATTCCCAGCACCCACATGGCAGCTAAACAGCCATTCATAACTTCAGTTCCAGGGGATCCGAAACCCTCTTCTGACCTCCATGGGCACTGCATGTCACCCTACTAGGCACACCTACTTACATGCAGGTAATACACTCATATACATAATTTTTTTTTTTTTTTGGTCTTTTTGAGCCAGAGTCTCCCTGTAGCCCCAGCCGGCCTGGAACTCATTTTGTAGACCAGGCTGGCCTTGAACTCATAGAGATCCGCTTGCCTCTGTGTGCCACCACGCCCGGAAAAAAATTTTTTTTTTTTTTCTCTGAGACAGGGTCTCCCTGTAGCCCCACCTGTCCTGGAACTCACTATGTAGACCAGGCTGGCCTCGACCTCACAGAGATCTGCCTGCCTCTGCCTCCCGAGTGCTGGGATTAAAGGCATGTGCCACCATGCCCAGCAATAAAATATTTTTTAAAAAAGGAGAAATAATTTTAATCCCAGCACTCGGGAGGCAGAGGGCAGCTGGACCTGTGAGTTCAAGGCCAGTCTGGTTCACACAGTGCGTTCCAGGACAGCTGGGGCTACAGGTAGACCCTGTCTCATAAAGACCCACCCCACCCCCCCAAAAAGGAGAAATAAGCTGGGCGTGGTAGCGCACACCTTTAATCCCAGCACTCGGGAGGCAGAAGCAGGCAGGCGGATCTACATAGTGAGTTCCAGGACAGCTGGGGCTACAGGGAGACCCTGTCTTAAAAAGACAAAAAAAAAAAAGAGAAATAGCTGGGTGTGGTGGCGTACACCTTTAGTCCCAACACAGGGAGGCAGAAGCAGGCAGATCTCTGTGAGTTCAAGGCCAGCCTGGTCTCCATAGCAGCTAGGGCTACAGGGAGACCCTGTCTCAAAAAGACAAAAAAGAGGACCCAGGTCCAATTCCCAACACCCACACGGCATCTAATAACCATCCCCAACCCCAGTTCCACAGGAATCCGGCACTTTCTTCTGACCTCCCTGGGAACTGCATGGCACGGGTACACTTACACTTACACACACACACACACACACACACACACACACACACACACACACACACACACACACACACACACACACACGCGCGCGCGCAAGCAATATACTCATACACATACAACAAAAATAAATATATAAATAAAAGAAATATCAACGAAAGCTGGGCATGGTGGCATATGCCTTTAATTCCAGCACTTGGGGGCAGATGAATCTCTGTGAGTTCAAGATCAGCCTAGTCTACATAGAGTTCAGGGAGACCCTGCCTCAAAAAGACCAAAAAAAAAAAAGAAATACTGACGAAATAATTAGGTTGCTCTCATGTATAAACATAGGTATAGAGAATACACATATACTCATAGATGATAAAACAAATGGAGCAAAATATTACAATGAATAGGGGCTGGAGGGATGGCTCAGTCAATAAAGCAAGCACATTGGCCAGAGACTGATCCCCAGATCTCTGGTAAAGAAGGCTGGGGTGTGATGGTATAAGCCTGTAATTCCAGTGCTGGAGAGGCAGAAACAGGATTCCTGGGGCTCCACTGGCCAGCCAGTCTAGCTTAATTAATGAGCTCTAGTCCTGTTTTGAGGTAGCTGGTATTCCTGCAGGTAACATCCACATCATCTTTTAGCTGGCATACACACCTGCACGCACACGCATACACTAAAAAAATTTAAAAAACAATACAATGGTTAACTTTGGGTTATAGGTACAGCAATGTTCTTTGTACTTGTCATACTTTGAAACATTTTTTTAAACTCAAAAATACACACAAAATGTATTGTTTTGCAGCTGTCACCCCATACCTATTTCTAGAAGAGTTCACCATTCCAAACTAAAACTCTGTATCCATAAAAATAAACCCCACTATTTGTATCCACAACTATTTTCTGAGCGATTTACACAATATTGTCCTTTTACACTTGGCTTATTTTCCAGGACAATTCGTAAAGGTTTATCTTGTAGTGTGTCTGACAATTTCATCCATTTTGACTGAATAATTCCCCTCTGTACTCATGTGCTGTGCTCTGCTCACCCTCTCAACTGCTGACAGGAACTAGCTATTGTGAATTATGTTTCAATGAAAGTGGGTATAAAAATATTTGTCTGAAGCTTTCTATTAACTCTTTTGGGTTCTGGGATTAAAGGCATGCATCACCAAACCTAATTTAAAGAGAAAGCAGATAGCCCAATGAGGGAATTTTACTCACAAACACAAAGCTACTTATTAGCCCAGCAGGGACCAAAACCCATGTTTCTGCCAGTGCCTTGTGACAGCCTGATAGTGATCTCTCATCATGTAATCATAAACTAGTTAAGACAATCATATAAACTGAGTGTGGGCAGACCTATAATCTTGGCACTGGGGCAAAAGGAATGCCCTAAGAGACAGGCTTGGGTGCACACTGAGTTCAAGGCTAGCTTGAATTACACACATAGGACCCTAACTCAAAATGAAGGTGGGAGTGTTTACACACATCTATATGTGAAGCATTTAGAATGTATCTATCTGAGAGCTCTGTCTTTCCAAGGTTGTATTTAAGGTGCGGCTTAGCTGCCATACCCAAGGAAGATAAGCTAGATGAGTTGCTTCCTTATATTCCTGGTTTCAGGCCTCAAAGCTTTCAGAGGATTACCAAGTAGCTGGGGGGAAGGGCAATGCCATATTCTGAAAGTGATAAACAATGATACCAATACTCTTGGGTCCAAACATGAGATAGAATAACTCATATGCTTATTTACAAATTTTCTCACTCAAGAAACTCCTGGGCCAGTGAGATGGATGGCCTGCCCAACTAAACTTGATGATTCACTTTTGATCCCTAGGACCCACATAGCAAGAGAACTGACTCCTGCAGGTTGTCCTCTGATCTCCACATATGCACACACACCAATAAATAAAATGTAATTTCTCTAAGGGGAATGGCAATAGGTCTGATTTTAAGAGGCAATAGCCATGTCATGATTCAAAACAGAACTTTAAAAAAATTACAGAGCGGGGCGTGGTGGTGCATGCCTTTAATCCCAGCACTTGGGAGGCAGAGGCAGGTGGATCTTTTTGAGTTCAAGGCCAGCCTGGTCTACATAGTGAGTTCCAGGACAGCTGGGGCTACAGGGCCAACAATATGGTTCAGTGAGTAATGGCACTTACCAACAAGCCTGGCGACCTGAGTTAAATTCCTGGGACCCACACTCTGACCCCTACACTCACATTAGTATAGGGGGATGCATGGGTATGCACACACAAGAGACATTCAAATTCCTTATATAGAATGACACTGAGCTACTGGTGGTAACCTAACTTATAAACCCAGCAATCAGGAGGCTGAGGCAGGATTGAGTATTCAAGGCTAACTGGGGTTGCAGAGACTGCTTATTAAAACAGT